TGTTTGTTTACATTATATTATAAGTATATACATATTTTACAGTGGAGTTGATAAACATAAATAAGGGAGGGAAGCAGTACAACACGGGTTGTATTAAGGTGGAACAAGAGGACAGAGCTGTCAGTATTATGTCTAGTTGGCAAATATATTTATTGCAATGGTAATTCCTATCTATCTGATAATTTCTGATAAAACGGTTTTGGAGGGAGGAAGCGTGGGGAAGGGTGAAGGAGAGGAAGAAGGGTGAGGGAGAGGGAGGAGGCGTGAGGAAGGGAGGAGGAATGAGGGAGAGGAGGTAGGATGAGGGGGAGGCGTGAGGAAGGGAGGTGGGATGAGGGAGCGTGAGGAAGGGAGGAGGAGGGAGGGAGGATGAGGGAGAGGGGGAGGCGTGAGGAAAAAGGAAGTATGAGGGAGAGGAGGAGGCGTGAAAGGGAGAGGAGGAGGGAAGAGAGAGGGAGGAGGAGTGGGGGAGAGGGAGGAAGCGTGAGGGGGGAAGGAGGTGTGAGGAAAAGGAGGGAGGATGATGAGGGAGAGGGAGGAGGCGTGAGGGAGGGAGGGGATGTGTGAGGGAGAGGTAACACGATGAAAAGAAAGAAAAAATAAGAAAGTAGATACAAAGTAGAGAAAGAGGAGAAACATGAATAAATAAATGCAATGGAGAGAAAAGAAGCGATGATAGAGAGTACACGTGGGGGAGGGGGAGGGAGGTGAGTTGAAACAGAGATAAATTATATAAAAGTCACATTTTACAAGTTTCTCTCCGTTCATGAACCTCAACCGTGAAGGGCCCATTGATCTACAGACTTTCACAGATGAGTCAGATACTAAGTAGATGTCTTTATGAAAGTTGTTTTCTAACTACATTACTGTATTTGTATTTTATTGTTTATCTAGCTAATGGAATATCTATTTCTGTCTGCTTCTTTCCTTCTATTTTCTTTCCTGGTTGAGTTTACTGATGGAGACGCCTATTATTTGTTTTATTTTTACGCTTCTATTTCCATTATAAGGTACAACGAATACGATAAATATATACATCATTAAGCTATAATTATGTATGTGCCTCAGTATAGCATGCATATTAAACCTGTATTCTCTTCATTACGGTCGTGTAACACTCGCTGATAGGTAAAGAAAGGCGTCGGAAAATATCCCTGCACTTCCCTTCCTTCTTATCTAATAATCCGTCGACACAGGCACTCCGCTTATATTATCCTAACCACAGTAACAAGACCACAACCTATTTGGCTTGCTGTAAAAACGAAACTGATACACAAACTTTCTATTACTGTAAATAAACGGGAAGACATATTATACCTCTTACCTCAAGTTTTCTGTTATGCGTGACGCCGATTGTCCTGCGCTTGTTCTCTCGTTAACTCAGCAGTTCTCATGAAATAATTCGCTCCTAGTGTTCATATCTTTACAAGACATGAATACGCATATATATTCCATGAAAAATAAGATTTTAAATAAAGTTTTGTAATGCTATAGTGTTGTACCAACGTTCACATACTAACTCAAGTATACATAAAACTCTTAACATATTCACCCAACAATTGGCACATCTCCAGTCGCTAAAACCAAAGGTGTGTCAGAGGGAATAAGGGATGTCCCAAGGACGTGGTGACTGGCCTGAGGGCCCTCGAGGACCTGTCTGCTAGGGTCCCACCAGAGCCCGGGCGAGGCGCGGGTGCTCACGGCCTGATGCCAGCACTGATAACCCGTCAGCACAATGGTCGAGTGCTAATTGACACCTCCTGCGCGTCGTAAAGCTACTACCACTGTGTAAATGCAAAGGTCACCCCCAAGATACTATCTCCCTACACCAGGTTTCTCAAAGCTTCGGACGCCAATATTCCCCCAATAAATGGAGATGTGAGAACTCATTTAGCTGGCTCGATTAGGCTAAGAGAGCAAAAATTATATCATAAATGGACTGATTCTCGATCGTAACTAAAAATGACCTCTTCTCGCCGCTTCCTGGAAAAAAATAAACATACGAATCCTTGGGAATCCGAACCTTGCCCTTTTGTTACGACTAGAGTGAAACATTATAGGACCTCTCATAAACCCAGCCACTCTCCTCCGCCCTCTCCCCCCTTACCTTGCCTTCCCAGCCTGTTTTCAGCTTCATTATCTTTCAATGAATATGTATTTCCAGTCGTAAACACAAAACATTTTATCCTAATGCCGCAGTAAACAATTCACGGCTGTTGTTTTAGTTAGCCGAGGTAAATAATTTAGTTACTGTGTTCAAGAATATTGTGTTGGCGTGTAATAAAAGATGTCACATGGAGTGAATATTAATCTGAAAAATGTATTAAGTTTGTTTACCCTCTTTAGGAAAACTAAATAGCACATATAGTTAGGTTAGGTCAAGTTAGCACACTAGGGTGGTTAATCTTCAGGTGAAATAAGCTAGGAGGCGCCAAATCTTCAAGGTGATCCCAGAAGTTTTGAGTGAAATCTAGACATCGATTTTAGCTGCCATATTTCTGACTTTGCCTTAATCAGTCAGTTAGATGCGTTTTTGTTTCTTGACATAGTGTAAAACTCAGTACAGGGACCTTTAATAAACAAATAATTATACACTTAAGCTAAAGCCATGTATCAGCATTAAAGAAGATCTGTACCTTTTCCTTCATCATTAACTCTTCTTGGCTGTTCTCTTCTTCCCATCCCCATTCTCTATCCTTTTCCTTCCCTGTCTTTTGTCCTTTGGTTCTTATCTTGTTCATGCCCCCTCCTCATCTTTTACCTTCACCCTCTCACCATTATTATTACTCGTGTTATTTCCACTGCCAGCAGAGATAAAAATATAAGTGTTTTGTTTGTTATTTTTACTTTAATATTTCAATAACCAATATTAGTATTTTTTAATAAAGTATTATCAGAATAGAAATACTGAGTAATTAAGATGTAAAAATTACTGAATTAAAATTAAATACTTGAAGAGTTAAAGGCAACCAAATACTGTACTGTATGGTCAAGTGGAGAGTGAAATCAGGGAAAGAATCAGAGAACAATAATTGGGAAGGATGACGACTGAAGAGTTGGGAAGTAACATTGAGAAAAGTATTGTTAACTTGGAGGTGAGGAAATGCCCTATGGAGGTGTCATCCCACCAAGACAATTGTCTGTTTTGTGTGATTTTTGTCAGCCAACTGGGACAATTGGGTTAGCTTAAATCCTGAATCGTCTATTTGGGAATCATTTAAGTTGAATGTAATACTGACAGATAGTACTTCCCAACTTGATATATAGCAGTGAAATATGAACTTGGAATTAATCAATTACTTTCTTTTTGTTTTTACAAGGATTAGCCCACCCGGGTACAAGTCACTGACTCACATCGAGTCCTGGCGGGCAAAAAAAAATAAATTGAACCAAAAATAAATACAGAAATGAGAAAAAATAATACAGGTCAAGAGTGAGAAATGATATACAGTATTACTTGTGTTGACAAAACAAAAATTGAGACTGTAATTGTGTACAACCTGGGACTTGGTCACAATTTTCGTGATGCCATATAGCAGCAGGGTCTACCATTAGACAAAACATTATGCTTCCAATATCTTCCCAGGCGGTAGTACCTCTCTGTTTGATAGCTGCCTACTACCTCCCAGTACTCTTACAGTACTATTAAATTCAAGCAGCATCTACACTTAACAGCAAGTAAGGGGTAAAAAATTGGAAAGTGTAAGGGGCAACTGGAATAGCTGGAATGACAGGTGTGAAGTGGAAATGGTATTACAACATGAAAGGGATGTAAGAGAGGATTGTATAGATTAGATATTGTAGAGACAAGTTATGAGGTGCAATATAAAGTGGAGACAACTGATACTGTACGAAAGATGGGTGGAACAACACGTTAGTTTGAGAAAAGAGGAGGGAATGACAATAGTTGGTAAAATAAATATGTAACGATGGGGGCAGATGGACATAACCCAAAAATTTTGTATCTGTTTGGTTGACAGAACTGAAGTATCTCTGCATTTGTTCAAACTTAGTTAACTTAAACAAAAATATTCATTCTAATCACCTATAAAATTACAATGCACAAGAAGGCAATAATTATAACATAATTGGCCAAAAAACAAATCTCAACTGAGGTTACCCAGGTCATTTCTGTTGTCCAAGATAAACTTCTTGGGTTAGTTAGATGGGTGCTGTGACTATACACCCCAACCACCCACATTATTTAACAAGGAGATATTTTCAAATAAACTCGCTCTATAATAGTTAACTGTACTGGTAATGTCTGTCTGACCAACTTTTACATCTACACATCCTGTGCACCTCTCTGTTGGGTTTTCCATCACTTGATATATTTATGAGTTTTTGTTCTGAAGTTGTCAACCCTAACACAGTGTTAGCAACAAATGAATTTCTTATCCATTCAAGTTTTGAGACATCTATGTCCTTAAGACTAAAATGAAAGCTTGCTTTTATAAAGCTTTTGATTATTCAGTATACTGCATAGTACTGTAGATTGTTGTTGGCTTCCATTTCATCATGAAATCCTAATGATGTAGGATTATGCCAAGACCTTTTTTCCACTATTGCAATTTTCTCATCAATTCATTTGCTTTCTCATTCTAGGTCAAAATATTAATTTGAGTATTTAGCATTGACCTATTCAAATAGCTAATTAAAAAAATAGGAGACTGATACAATCTATAAGTGAGTAAGGGATGTCAGGTTTTATGTTGCTCTCTACACTTGTTTTTCCATCATTTCCCACTTCTTTTAAACTTTTGTACCCTTGCATCCACCTCACACAAAAGTGGGAAAGGGATAAATATAAATAGAGACAGAGTAAGTACATGGTATAATGGATATGGTAGGGATAAAAGATGTAGAGTGAATGTGGTCATATAGGAACCAGCTATGGGAGGAAAGCCACCTCTTTAACTTTCCCCCATATGATACCAAAGACAACCACTCTACAACATAGGAAGACTTAATTAATTATTGGTGGTTTTTTATACATAAAATGCTGTTTTAATTTTATTTATTTACACTTATCAATGAAATATCACATACAAAATGTATAAACCTCAGACAGCAAACCAAAATGCTGTATGGTATGTATGCCTCTGGATCTGTCATCACTCATGATAAATTTTCAATATGCAGACGATGGCTCTTACAATTTATAAACCAATTATACAAAAATACTAAAATACAGGGTGTTTAAATACATAACATTTGATTCAACTGTTGCACAGCACAGATTTCTATATATCAGCATGTGAAGGATGATGAGCTAACTTACTCTTGACATCTGGGCTATATACATATGTTTACCAAAATAAAATAAAGAAAGGCTCATCTTGCTACTATGAACATTGAGCTGTACATATGCTCTGCAAAAGATATTTTAATAAGAGTATGACCAGAGAATAGCTCTGAGCATTTTCATAAGTATCAGTTCATTGCAATGAAGCTTTGATAAATTTTCCTTCAAAATCCAATTACAATACTGTACTGTATTTTCTAAAATTCTACATCTGTACACATTGAATGACTCTTAATACATAAGCCACTTTATATTCTCAGCATAAGAATAAAGTAAAAAGCATTCATTTCAGCGAAAAAATTGAACACTGTAGTTAGCTGCAATATGGGAGGAAAATATTTTGAACTGAAGCAAAATGTGGAACCAGCAATCTAGCAAATGTTGCCGATTCAAAATAATTTATGGTAGTTGGTACAGTAATGACATGAATAATATCATCGTCTCAAAGCTACAGGCACAACTGGATCTGTTTTAAAACAAGACATGAAAATTAAAAAAATAAAAGAAAAAAGGAAACAATTCAGTAAGCTCTTGCAAGTTCTATAAACCTAAAACATCATCCAGATAATTGGTTTTGTACACTGCTATTTATGAAGGCAATTAAAACTTCAATAATGTTGACCTTAAAAATGCCATATTTCACTTCTTAGGCTTTGTAAATCCTCTAATCCCATTCTGAAAAGATAAAAAATACGGCACATCAGTCATCAAACTACGAAAATAATTTTAGAAGCAATTCACAATAGTAAGGATAATATGAAAAGTAATTTTGAATTAGGAGGTTTTTACAATACACAAAAAAAAAAAAGGCATACACTTTCTTAACATAATCGACACCCCGGCCTCAACGTGCTCCAACTTAACCCATGCTATTAGGATCTATGTAAAAGTAACTGTGATTGATCATTACAATATTATGTACACCCACTAAAAAATTATTCGGCACCCGTGTCATATTGTATCATGCCGTAAGGGTGCCGAATAATTTTTAGTGGGTGTACAGTACAGTACAGACCGGCCAGAGAGGCCATCCTGATGTGTGCCAATAAGTTGTACACCCAATAAAAAATTATTCGACACCCTTATGGAGTGATACAATATGACACGGTTGCCGAATAATTTTTTAGTGGGTGTACAACATACAGTACCTTTATTTCATTCACTTCCCCCAGAATATAACTAGACCTGCTTTAATTTCTCTTCCATTTCTGTGTTTGTCAATAATTTACTCTTAACATTGTTTTAATAAAACTGTTTATAAAATATCTCAAAATATGACAACTTTCTTCCCTGATATGGACAAATTCTAACTTTGGAAACACGAATGTCTAAGCTAAAGTCCCTTTTACACTATTTCAGCACATCCAACTGTAATTTACACACAAGTATTGTATATAATGTCTGATACCAATTCATTTCATCTGATATCCACCAAATCATTGTTGAAAAAGGATCACATTTCAAATACCATGACTACTATATGGTACCATATACAGTATTACAACATAACTTATGAATCACGCTTCACAATACTCTGCACATTATGTAGGTTCAGGGCCGGATTCAGGAGTGGGCAAAGTGGGCAGTTGCCCAGGGGCCTCCACAATCTGGGGGCCTCCACATATTACAATATTATATTTATTTGTTTATTCATTTGGATTATTTTTATTTTCATTCTTTAAAATTCATGTTTATCTATTCCATCACGTAAAACTATGTTCAGCAAGAAGCGTGATAGAAATTAGGCTAGCTACTCCTTGAAATTCATGAATACCTGGTTTTCCTATGAACCGTATATTTTTAATGAATGCTATTGTTTGTGTTGCTAATAATATATTTAGAATTCCACAAACATATATTGATTAAAAATGAACTACATGGAATAACGAAATTGAGATTAAAAAAAAACAAATAAAATATTTTTTCATTATCACTTCCATTACAAATGTCATCAGGGCGCTGTGTTCTAATTTCCTCAATATAACTGCATATGGCTTCAAAATTCTCCAAAGAAGTGTTCAAATTTCAAAAATTTCCCGGGGGCTTACAGTGCCCCCTGAAACTCCCAGATGTTTAGGCTCGCTTCACTCGCCACCCCACCCTCTTGGGTAGTTATAATGAGGGGGGCCTCCACAGGTCTAAATCCGGCACTGTGTAGGTTTCCAAACATCAGTAGCAGTTAGTACACAGTTTCTTGAAAAGTCAATAAAAAGTTTTAACACTTAATTCTTATTGAAACTAAGCAGCTGCCCATAGCTACCATGCTTCTTATGGAATACTACTTAAACAAATTTGAACTTTTCCACCTAACAATCATCCATACCAGCATTCATATCAGTCTCTCCTGAACAGGGTACAGTGGTGGAGAAGGAGAATTAAAGGGTTTAGGAAGTATTAAAACTTAAGGGTATGTGAATGATAGATGTTGAACTGCCACTTTTTGTGATCTTTTATTGTAGTACAGTACAGTATCTCTCTCTATTCTCAGGTCCCTGTAGTGTATCAAGCAATAGTGAATTCTTTAGAAGAACTGGCACTTTGAGAAACAAAAGATCTGCTATTATTGTTAAATAAAAAAAATTAATACTGGTTACAAAGGCAGTTCAAATGGTTGTTAGGAATGACATCTTCCTAACAGACTACAGCTTACAAAGAAAATAATCAAACCAAATTTAAGAAGAGTTTTCTTGGTAGTTCAGATTTTGAAGTTAGTGCTGACATGTAATATTTATTCCGGACACTAAATGAAAGTTACAATTATGTAATCTCAACCAAATATTTAATCACTGTTTATCACCTTGAAACCTCACTGCTGTACAGTACTATGTAACTTGTGGGCTAGAAACTGTTGAAAATTATCAACTTACCACCCTTAGTTGTTCAGAGCATCCCAAAGCCCTGTGAATATTTAATAGCTTTATAAAGACGGTCCTTGAGTTTCTCCTTGCTAGAATATTCAGGCAGGAGTAGGACGTTGAAGCAGGTGTGTGCAGTTGGTAACCTATTTGGAGACAGAAAAAAAATAACATACAGTCATCTGTTTCATGTACAATATACATAACAGATTCTTTCCTGATATATACAGTACAGTATGCGTGTCTTTTAACATTTACTCTAATTAATTAATATAATTTATTTACTAGATTTCCTTCCACACCAAATACAGAAGAGTTAGCATGAAACACTCCATCATGGTAACAAACCTCCACATATCCTTCAGCTAATGTTATTTACTCCCGAGTCACTCCATCTTCGACAGTATCTCACTATAACCAATTGAAATCTGCCATGGTAATGAATTTCTTTGTTGTACTTATGTCTATTATCTTTACTTCTTTCCCAGTCTCGTTTGGGGGTGGATCAAGGGAAGAGTGTGATGCTCAACAAATATCTCGGTCAACTAGAAATAGTCACATACCAGTCTCTCTTATGGGAAAATTAAATTCACATATCACAAATTCACTCTCTTCATTGCAAGGGTTTTCAGGATAAATGGGGACAAGCCGTATCAACAACTCTCACTTATAACTAATCTCATCATATATCTGGCAGTCCAAAACTTAACACTGGCAATAATCATTCACATCATCTTACACCAATTACTCTCAGCCGGTTTACTTGTTTTAGGCATTGTCAAAATATAACCATTTCAGCTATTATCTTTTACAGTTCCCATTAAGATTTCCTATTCAGTAGACTTGCCTCATTCAGAGAGATTAATTTAGGCTATTAATGAACCTTTCTGGCATTATAAAAATCCATCTATACTCAAAATGATTCTCAAAACGTGGATTAAGAATCACGGCCATCATCTGTGGCGTGATGCATTACCCATCGTCAATATTATTTCATGGAAAGGTTGTTTTAAGTCTCAAACATCCATTCAGGTGGCATTTACAAATACAATGATACAAATGGAGCTCATTGTACACATACTGAGAATCTTTTCATGGTGTCTCATTATGTATAAACCAAATCACAGCCAGGTAGACTTGTTTACAATGACATGTTGAAATGTCTGCTCTTTTATTTTATCATAGCATCTAACAACCCCGAGAAAAAAAAACTAGTCTTAATGATTACAGTCCACAAGGTTCATATCCCAACTCACCTGTCACAATCTGAACTTTGTCTAGCTATAATAAGTTTCAATCTTGCTAGACCTCCTACTGGAACTCGTGCTGATCCTGTTGTAAATTGAAGTAACTTTTTCTTGTCCTCTGTACTCATGTCATGAACAAGTTCCCAAAATGCTTGTATGATGGATGTCTCACTGGTGTACCCGCCATCATACTCGGCAGATTTCATTAGCTCCATGAAGTCATAGTGCTGCAATGATAAGTACAGTATTTTACTTACATATGGATTGAGAAATGAATGGGGGTGTAATGAAGGGGTTTTAATAGTGCAAGAGATTAAGAGAGATGAAGATTTTGGTAGCATGGCCGTGTTAGTTATTTACTCTGTCAATACACTTATCTTATCTTATATGTCAACACACATCTATTACGTTCTTAAGGTCGACTTCTCAAACACCGCGACGTTACAACTGTTTATTAATTACGACAATGACATGGACACATTAATAACACCTTCTATCGAAGTTACTAGGACATTATATTTACGTTACTAGGACATCACATTACGTTACCAGACACTGATTCTTGGACACGAACATGAAATGAAGACACTTCCCGCGTAAGTAACTCATTCCATGGAAAGCTCTGACAAAAACCCACGTGACCTGGGGGAGGCCTTGCAGGTGGTCCTGGGTTGTCTCTATGGGAGACTGCTTAGCTGGGCACCGGTGTCGAGGGCAACTCGCTCCCGACCGGAGGCGGCTGGCCTCCGGCCCTCTCTGTCTGACTTCTCTCGAGCGGGACTGGGGACGTTGTTCCTGGCCCTTCTTGGTTACAAGACACTCTCTCGTGAGGGAAGGCTACGACGTCCTATACATTGGGAGACGAGTCGTCAGGTTGAGCTGATCGGGGGGGTCCCTCCTCCTTCCATTTGACCCCGCTAATGTAAGGTCAGGTCTGGACTTTTTCGGAGCTAAAAGTTGTTGTATATTGTGGAGAAATCTTCAGATGACTGGGTTCTTGTTAACATCGTTGGTGTGGCCGTGTGACATGAGAGAGGCTCTGGTTGATTTGTGGCCCCTTGACTTGGGCTGCGAGGGGTCCCTTTACATTTGACCTGGCTAATGTGAGGTCAGGTTTGGACCTTGTGCTGGTTGATTTGTGGCTCCTTGAGCGCTGCAAGGGTTACCCTTACATTTGACCCCCCTAATGTTGGGTCAGGTCTGGACTGTTTCTGAGATGTAAGCTGTGGTCTGACAACCCATCACTACAGGGAGAAAGACCTTGCAAACAGGGAAACAATGGTAGTGTACTGTAGACTATAGTACAAGGGATTTGTTGAACCAACTACAGAGTACAGTACTGTAAACAATCATTACAACTTATAAAACCTAACACGTTTAACCTCATAACCCAAGTCATCCACTATCACTTGTATGCAGGTAATTTGTCACCTTAATGTTTCTTAATAAATAGTGTACATACAAATACCGTAGTATCACAAGTCTGGTGTCAGTTTATAAGACGAATACGTACAATATAAATTCATGCAGGACTAAAGAACAGTACCTGAGAACCACAAACAAGGAGTTCTAGTTCTTCTGGCCTAAAAAGATTTGCCAATGGTGAGTCATCCGTCACCATGTTGAAGCCTCTACGAAATGCTCGAAACTGTCTCTCTACCATCTTGTTCAACAGGAAGTCTGCATACAGTTCAACAAATTCCTGAAATTTAAAAACAAAATTAAAATGGTCATGTTCATTCCATCTTCATGTGATGTCTATTAATCATCAATAGATTTTTTAATTCTAAATTAATTTACTATATACCTTCTCTAACCAAGTAATAACTTGGATACCGAGTGAGACATGAATACAAAAAGTATGGCAACATGGAAGACTGAAGTCCTAGGCAGGTATGCCAAGGAGGAAGTACTGTACAGTAGTCATCAAATCAGCAATAAATGGTAACACCTAGCAGGTATGCACCATACATGCTTCCCAGGTAAAATTCTTAAAGAAGATACAGAAACCAAAGAGCCAAGTATTTTCAAACTATGATCCAGATATTCCATGAGTATTTTTGGTATCTGTCTTAAAGGGTTAAAGTTCACAGCAGTCAACATACATGTTTACTACTCTGGCTGACAAGGATGTTATCTCCATCTGTCTTGAGGTCATGTGTCAGACTTGTGCCAAACACATCTTGGTAACCAACACGAAATGTCTGCATAAAGACATCTTCCATGTCTTCTCCTTCATACTCCAGAAGTTCAACAAGGCTTCGATACAAAGTCTGCAATTATGGACAATATAGATAAACGTTCTCTAAATCACTTAACTTAAACACCAAAATAATGATTAATTTCACACACTGTAGCAATCAACATGACTGGTGTAAATAATATAATGCAATCAATTATATAAAGAAGATAGACTTAAATCTTCGTAACAACAGATTACAGTATTTAAGCTAGCCATTGTCACCTAAACAATTGTAAGTATAAATAATAAACTATTTAAATGTAGGAACATTCACTCGATGTAATTGCAAAAGCATTCAAAGAACAGTTTACTTTAGTAGGCACAGTGAATTTATAAAGCATTGAGAATTATTGTGGAATCTTGGGAGTCACTTGTATGTGCTACTGTGTAGGAAGTACAGTACTGTAGTGGCTATAAATTGAGAGAATGTGTTCTAACGAATTTAAGCATAACTACCTTCCAAAAGGAACTATATTACAAAAAGTTTTTAATAGTGCATATGGGCATATTAAAATCATCCACAATCTCAACATAAAAGAGGAAAAGGTTATCTTTCAAAAGCCGATTATTCAACAATCCAACACAACTGTTATTGTGTACAAGAAAATAATATTGCACACCCTAACACTAAATACTATATTTGTTCAGTATCAGCAAAAATGATTTGCAGTGTTCTTACTTCAGAAGCATCAGAAGTAACTTAACTGAAATTTGTCTTTCAATAATTAGTCAACTGTACTGTATTTGTGAAAATTAAATTACTGTAGTGTATACAATATAAAAAATGATGTTATTATGATCAACAATGCACAGGAGTGTTCAAATATATTACAGTACTGTACTGTAAATGTATACAGAAACTTAAAACAAGTAAGAAAGGTAACAAAGCAGAAGACCAATCTTACAGGATTCCATTCGCGAAGGTCGTGAAAGGAGCCGGGTTTACTGCAGAGCTTCTTGTACATTACTGGTGGGAAATGTACATCAAGAATCACATTGTTGTAGATTGCTAGTCCCAGCACAATGCCGACTAGTGTGAACTGTGCATCACTCTCAAAGCAATTTGGATTGAACCAGAATGTCCGAGTTTCATTGTTGAGACAAAACATGGCTGAAATGTAATACAGTACAGGTATAAAATAATTAAAAGTTGTTAAGTACATGTAGATTTAGCTAGAGACCATATAGAAATGAGTACACAGCAGTGTTTACCATGTACCGTAATTATCTGATACTATATGGAGTTTGAGTCTTCTACACCTACCATAGTCAGGATTGAAGATCTGTTCCACTATCAGCTGGAAGAACTCCTTGCTAACACCACCTTCATCAATGCCTTGCTCACCCTCAAACTCTACCACCATCTGTTTCTTGAGATCCCCAGGATTTTCTAATGCCACCATCTCCAGCTGTTCAAAAATACATACATTATTTCATTATTCAGATTATTTTCTTGTTCATACAGGTATGTAAAAGCCTGTTAACATCCCTGATTAAGTATTTTGTAATTTTTTTTTCTGTTAAGTAAGGCTGGGTTGTAGATACCGATGACTTCAACAAATACACTCTGAATGAATTACAAAAATAAAATAAGAGACCTCAATTTAATGATCATTCTGCCAACCAGTCCAAAACTGGTAGCATTCATCAACTGTATATAATGATCTTACATATTATGTTTGGTTGTACCACATGTCTACAGACTAACAGATATGAAAAAATTGCCCAAAACATTTTCAGTTAATGACGTAGTACAATATTGTATTTTGGCTAAGTTCTACTAGGACTACAGCTGTAGATAACCTTCAAAATTGGTAGGCTCGATGGCACACTATGTGTAAACTCGAAGAGTAATCTTATATATTCATCAGCCAATAGCAACAATAAGAATGAGACAGTACTGTACTGTAATGTACTTGAAAAACAATACAGTATTCTGTAGAAGAGAATAATTTATAAGTGATATATAACTACAGGGTTTCACACTACTTTAAACTCTTTGCATCTCAGAATCAACCATTTGTCAACATTATTTTTTCTGATGTGGGTCCAAATATTGATTTGTGTCCAGAGAAATAGAAAATTGTCTCAGATTTACGATCTTGAATTCAAACCTCCCAAACTATTTTGCCAGCACAACTAATTACACGGAGTTCATATGAAGTCCAGTAACAAATATGCAAGATTTTACATAAGTTTTTCTAATATTAAAGTTGAAAATGTTAATTATAACATTATATTAAGAGCATTCCATAAATAATAAAGATAACTGTACCTATATGACAAGACACTGTACACCATAAAAGTGTTTGTTCTCACTTGTGCTGTACAGTACTACTGTTCTTTTTGCATAATCATTCATTCTCTTTATGTACAGTAACACATACCTACACATGGTGTAATAACTATATATGTTCTGCATATAATTAATGTATAGCTTTTTATTGTTGCACAGTTCTTAATTGTCACAAGGGATACAAAGTAAGGAAGAGAAACGTGACACCTCCTTGATGCCAGGTGACCACCTCCTTGTCTGGTGACAGTTTTGTGTAAGATAAATACTGGAAGATTATCTGCCTAGCCCTTTGAAAACTTTTTAAGCACAAAATAAAACCATCAGTATTTCTCCAAGTTTCTCAGTTTGATCCATATACAGTACAGTATCCACCATTTTGAAGTGTGAAATGATATGGCTTAAAACTTTTTTCTTAAACCACATGTCCAGTCCTGAAATATTTGGTAAAGTAAAGGGTAATTGCACCTAAATATTCATATTTTGGTGGATTTTAACAGTTTCTCAGGCTTCCCCCTATTTTCTTTCGATGATCAAGAAGTTAAGATGTGCCAAACAACAGCTAAAGTTTAAACATTTCTCATTTGAATACAGTAAATCCAGTACTCAGAAAATGTCATTAAAAAACCTAACCTAACTTTTTGCATTAAATTTTGTGTCAAGGAGTTGGTATTAGTAAAACCCTAAACTAGGAGGAAAATTTGAAATTTTTAAACAAAAGATATTAAATTATTATGATTAAGCAGATAATTTGGAGCCACATACCTCAACGAGAGCATCATCTATTATGTGGTCTCTTCGTATTCTAAGTTTCAAGTATGGGTTTGCAGGCATTCCCTCTATAACTTGTTGATAGATGCTTATCCTTCGTTCAGAATACATTCGTATTCGATTGTCATAATAGAGGCCTAGAGCCTTTGTTGCTGCAGTTAGGATGAAGGGAAAGTTTAGAAAACTAAACTTGTCTCCACTCCCAGCTTTGTAATAGGCAAAATCTCTGTCCATTTCCAGCTGATCACTAAGAAAGTCATCATAAAATTCTGAGAGGGGTACAAGTGGTGTTCTGGCATCTAAGACATGTATACCAAGTTCTGTGCCTAAAGAGTCCTTGGGTGGTGCCCTTGCTGCCCAGTCTTTTCCTGCACCACTGACACCAAGGAATGGGTCATCATGCAGGGGCATAGACTCAGTGGAGGAGTCTTCAGAGGGTAAGTCTTTTAACAAGGGAGTATCTAATTCCCCTCCTAATATACTGGCATAGAAGAGAAGTTTCATGACTTGTGTTGCGGAAGTTATGCTGTCTTCATCGTTGATGGTAAAGTCTCGAGAAAATTCTGTGGTAAGAAGCTTGATGGTGATCAACTGATGAAGACTTGCCAGTAACCTATGTAAGCGTGATCCTTCCCACGTTGCCAAGTGTTTGACCAAGAGGGCTTGGTCTTTTTCAGGTAACTGACTGATTGTTCGGCACATCTTTGGCATCACGCCCTCAATGAAATCAGTGGTGTTCAATGCTGGGCTTTCTATAAGGATAATGAAGATATTGATATTATTTGGTATGGCAGTAAATGCATCTCGGTGAGCACGGAGCTGTATACTAAGTGAATCTGACAACAGCTGTACAATGGCATTCATCAAAGTATTACCAAACTCCATTTCTGGACACTCAAACAATGAGGCATATGCCCTCCGTACTTCACCAATATCAAGAGCTGACGGCAAAATGGCATTTTTTGCAGACTGATTTTCATCATTCTCCTTTTCATCCCCATCACAAATGCTGGCTGCACCTTCACCAACACACAAAACTTCAGCACAATCTAGATCTTTATCTAAATCTTTTTCTAGGGCACGTAACTCCTCCTTGCTCTGCACCCCTGTAGTATCTAAATCTTTACATTCTACTAATGTTTCATTTGATCTTTCTTCTGACTCTGGGTTCTTCAAAAAGCTGTGTCTGAGAGCAACTTCATTAGAAAATACTGCCCACAGTAGCCGCCTAAGCTTAGCATAATTATTTGAACTACGACATTCAGTTATAGTGAGATAAAGCGTCTCTTCTGTGAGTCCTGGTGTTTTGCTCAGCTCATCCACCTGTGGTAACAAGGGGGGCAAGGGTGTGCTGGGGTTGGAGGCACCTGCCATATTAACATCCCGCACTAAAGAACAGGTGGCTGTGCTTCCTGTAGAACTGGGACCCTGGGCAGAGGCAGCATTAACACCACTACCTAATGTCAGAGACTGACTGGACCTAGGCATTTTGGCACCCACCACCTCACAGAGTTTGGCACGCGCTGCAAATAGTTGGAGTGCCTTGCCTGCTGCTTCATTACTCGACAGTGGGCCAACCTGCAACAAAGAAAGAAGTGTCATTGTGCTAGCAAGACTTGATTTTTATATATGTACATCCCTGTCTAAACAAACATACTGTATATGGTGAAAAAAATACACACACATATACGAGTATATATACAGTACACATTTTCATTTTATTAAAAGTGTGATATGGTAGCCATTTTTCTTCTGAAAAAATAGTACAATATCAGCATGTTAACCAGTTCTGATGCATTGTTCAGGTGATAATCCCTAAACAAACATTGTGCATTAAATACGTAATGGATGAATTTTTCTGTGTCTGGCATTAGTGTAAAGATCTGTACGGTATTCTATCCACCTGATGAGAGTACACTCTGAAGGTTAACACATTAAACACACACACCTACACTGTTAGAATTGTCTTTGAGTTTTACACTGCAGGTGTAAGGGAAGATGTGTGAAGAAGAAAAATCTATAAATAGGCAGAGAATAGGATGAAGGGGGTGAATGATGAATTAGATAAAAATATCGGGAACTTGCAGAGAGTAGAGGTCATTTGATAAAGCATGAGAAGTCTTGTACCCAAGACTGAAAGGGGCATGGTGGGACTGGATTTAACTGGTGCAGAGCAGCTTCTTAAAAAATAATAAAAGCAGAAGCTGCAAAATAATTGAGGTAATAAACACAATGTCACCATCCACTAACCATAGAGATAATATAAATATCAGCCCTCTTAAAGGTAATGTTGAGTGCAGCCATTCATCAAAAGTGTAAATACTGTAGCTAGGTACCCTATACAGTACAGCATTTATAGAAGCAGTTAAGTAAAGTTTAAACTTATTCTGAAGAATTCAAGGAAATCACATATCTAAACAAAAAATTACAGGTTTTGTATCCTCAAAGAAATCATCATCCAAAAAAATGGGAAAGCTGTTCATACTTTTATCATGAGACAGAAAATTATATACAAGTTAATGGTAACACACCTTGCCCGAGGAAGCACAGTTGGGGTTGTCACAGAGGGGGTTGCCACAGCCATCCGTGAGTTGGAAATAATATTTTTCTATGAGCTGAGCAGCAGCACGTTTCATGTCTCCGTTCTGGTGTCGTGACGACCAAAGGCCCCCTTCTTGTTGACCTCCGTTATCTTGCTCTTCTTCATTCCTAAAACTTTCACCCCTGAAACATATAAAAAGAGTAATGGCTACAATGATTTAGTTCCTTACAAAAGAAAATACAATACTGTATATTCTTATTTATTTTTTCAAAATTTCTCTAGTGTTGCTAAATAACATTTCTTACAGGAAAGGAGAGTGTAGGACATAAAACATTTGTGAAATTACTCTGACCTGCATATAAAATCCCCATAGCCAAAACATTTATGAAGGAAGGTGCCAACACAAACCAAACTTAAGTTTACCTCATAATCTTTGACAATTATATTTGCTACATGGTGAATCCAGCAGAGTTCATTGAGTCATAAGACACAACTGTTAAAAATGCAGACATCGCTGCTTCTCCTATGGAAATTCACATTAATTTTAGCTGATGTCTAGATCTTTTTTCTACCATGAAAATATTCCATTTAATAATACTACTGAGACAATTTGGGGATAGAAAATTTTGTATACTATATTGTATAACCTGACAAGGAAAACAAACCTTCACTGGAATCTTGTCTAATTTTAGCAGGAACAAACACTACTAAAATCAATCATACTGGTACAGATAATTGAATGATGGGAGCCACTATCTAGTAAGATGGTGTTGTAAAATTTGTCAGTGCTCAGATTTTTTTTTTCATGTTCCTGGACAGAATTATAAAATTGTAAAATTCAAAAGTTCATGACTTTTTGAGAGAACTTGGTGAACATAATTTATTTTGCATAGGATGAGACAAAAATTATAACAGTTTTGAAAATACTGCAAAAGTCTTTTGTCAAACTACTGTATCAGTACCTAAGGTTTTTTTTTTTTTAGCCTTGATTATTCCGTCTTGAGTGTATGACCTACACAATTCCCTTCTTTTTTCTGCACAATAGGTCGTTAAACCTTGTTTAAAAAATATATATAAATGATAAGGATCATATTGTTGGAATTGAAGTAGCATTGGTTAATAAATGAACTGCATGTTCGTATACCTATTGTTCTTCGCCAATGAGGAAGACCGAGGGAGAAGCCATAATTTTTTTCAATGGGGTCCTTATCACATCGTGTTCAGTATCGTATCACAATCTATCTGTGCTGGTGGAGGATGAAGACCATCTCTAAGAGATCATGTCAACATGGACGAGTTGGCAAGATGTGCAAGTGTTCAAAATGCAGCAGAGAACTGACAGTAGTGTTTCAGTGCAACAACCAATCACAATCTTATGTCCACAAAAAACATTAAATTACACCATGCTGCTTCAAGATACAGTAATTGGTACCAGATATCAAAGCAAGTTCTTTCTGCTTAATATACCAGGGGGTCCGGTAGGTAAGGTTATGAAGGTTTCATTAGTTAGGTCAGGTTCTGTGCATTTTTGCTTCCATTTTTGTTGGAAGTCAGAAAATGTGAGTTTAAATTCACAATAACAATGGCTTAAATCCCCACAAAATTACAACAGTACATCAATGCACAACTGATTTAGACTCCATATGAGTAAATAATTTTTAATATCAAACACAACGACCACACCTCACTTCGCCAAATTTAACGTATCTAATTTTAAAATTTGGATTAGTTAGTTTATTTAATCTAATGCCAGAAATTAGTTGCTTGTTTGATCTCGGATCCAATTCTAAACATACAAGACACACTAATTATTGCAGTACAGTATATAAGCCGGTAATTATCTATGACTTTCCAGCCTCAGATTTTTTATAAAAGAATTTTAAAATGCCGCAATTTCACTATTTTATAGTGGAAACTGTCGTAGTTATGGAAAATGTTAAAAACTGTTTATTTAAAAGTTCAACTTAACCTAAACTTAAACTAACCTACCCTAACCGGCCAATATTGACAACTATACTGAAAACATCAAAACAAATAACGCGTCGGCAATATTAGTCTTTAAGCCATTAACATAAGTTTGGGATTGTTTTTCACCATCTCGACAACAGATTTATATTCTATGCATTATAACGTACAAAACAAGAAGGAGATCCGAGTAATGAGGTGGTGGCACTTCTCTATACCTCTGTCATAACGCAGTGGATTTTTGCTGTGACCGGCTAAGTCCCTACTAACGCTGTTTTATCATGAGTGCACTCTGATTGGCTCATCAAATCAAAATGACAATGCATAGAACCTAACCTAACCTAACCTAACCTCACCTCACCTACCTACCTACCTACCTAACCTAACCTAACCTCACCTACCTAACTTCCTTATTTGTACATTGTCGTTTCTATTTTCCTATCATCATCAAATTAACACTGGATATTTTACAGTTTTGCTTGCTGGTAATGGATTAACCAACCAGAGCACACACACAGTATAATAGCCTTAGTAGGATGTTAACTATCTACTGTGAAATCATAACTTATTCAGTGGCACTTTATTTATGTACATATTTTTTCCTCATCTGATTCCAGTTTTAAAACGGGCGAAATAGAAAATAGCATATGTAGTATTTCAGTAAAGCAAGGTGTATTTAACGTTAGATATTAGTAGTATTAAGAGTATACCTAGTTCACTGTATAGCAGATTGTCATTGGCATCTCTATAGTTACCTGGTGCCTTCCTCGGCCCCAATAGTGTCTGGGGTCTCTTCTGGTGAACTCATTAACTTTTGCTGTTATATAATGTCTTTAAAGATACTATTTGACTCAAAGTACTTCATAAACACACGTTACTTTAAACCTTTCTACCCGACTCCAGGGAACAACATTGTCGCCATGTTTATTCGCGAAAACAATAGACAAAAGTTAATATTCTGTGAAAAATATAATAATTAAAACTTAAAAATCTATTGAGTTCATTGGTACTGATAATACCTCTTATAATGACTCCTATATCTCTATAATTGCTTCTTACATTTGAAAGTTTTAAAGGTACGGAATAATATTTGGGCCAAAGTCAACTGGAGCAATGGTTCTTGCTGAGCAATATATTACGACGCAGGGATATTCATCCATACTAACTAGTCAATTGTAACCGAAGCTTATGAATATAAATGTAGTTAAATGTGTTTTTTTTATATCACACTGCTGTTACTTAGCGAGACAAGTTCCCTGCACAATTATAAACAAAACCCATGATGACTTGAGTGTTCCAGTACAAATTATCTTGACTTAATTAAACAATAAAGCTTGTCTTGAGCTGTTTATATCATAGTATGAAGTGAGGTAACTATAGCCATGTTTTGAACTGTATCTTTAATTACTTTACAGAATACACATTGGTTCTGTCGACGTTCCTCAAGTCATCGATTATCACAAAAATAACTTTTAGCGCGCTCGTTCATTTCCTGTCCTGTTAATATATCTATATATATATATATATATATATATATATATATATATATATATATATATATATATATATATATATATATATATATATATATATATATATATATATATATATATATATATATATATATATATATATATATATATATATATATATATATATATATATATATATATATATATATTAAATGAAACTAGTTTTTTATGGTAATTTTTACTTTTTTTACTTTATCCTCTTCACTACTGATCGGCTCGTTAGCCGCTTGGGCGATCGGTCACGTCTCTGTTACACACTGTTGGCAAGTACTGGGCATGCACCGGCTCCTGAATGTATCTGAACCTGCTCCAGTGTTTGTTAAGTCTTGTCTTGAAAGAGCTCACACTCGGTGCCGTCACAACACTTTCTGATTGATTGTTCCAAGAGTTCACAATTCTCACTCCGAAAAAGTTTGCCCTCACATTTTTTTGGACTTGCGGCTTCCCAATCTTGAGCTGTGACCCCTTATGGGGCGAGCGTCCGCCAGCTCCAACTAAGGACACTCGACTGAGTAGTGCCCCTTGAGATGCTTATACACATCTCAATTAGGTCACCCCTTGCCCGTCTGTAGTACAAGCTAGGCAAGGTCAGGCGCTCCAATCTCTCAGGGCAGCTGAGGTGCCGAAGGGCAGGCACCAGTCTGGTGACCCTCCTTTGAACATTTTCAACCAACTGACAGTCCCTAGCATATCTCGGGGACCAGACGGGTGACAGTACTCCAGATGGGGAAGCACTTCACTCTTGAAGATCGTTAAGAGGGACGGACCGTCTAGATATCTGAACAACCTTCTTATAAGTCCCAATAATATATTTGCCTGATTCACCTTCATCTCGCAATGGCCCGAGAACTTCAGCTCATTGTCAACATCCACACCTACTGTAGGTCCTTCTCACATTCAGTTTCAAATAGTGCAGTTTCTTCATCCCGTAATGTTTGCTAATACAGGTATTAGTAAAAATAAATCCATTTAATAATCGCTGTGGATATTTGTCCGTTTGTAGTACAGCACTAGCTAATAATTCCCACCAGGAAACTTGTTTCAAGACTCCTCCAAAGCTTCGAAAAGTGCAGAATTCCATGTGTTAAAGGCGATATTGCTGAAAAAGACCAGGGCAAGAAGGTCATCGTAAATGGCGTCGTACACCCCATAACCGTTCTTGCAATTGGCCCATAGCTAGATGACACCAATCTAAGAATGCTAACTATACCTGTACTTAGGGTGCTGGTGAACTCTCAGTAACGTGCATCTGGGTTTGGTTCACTGACGTAGGGGATGGTACTGTGTCATACCAAATGTGAGCAGCCTCAAAAAATAATCCCACATCATGCACTAAGTATCACTAAATTAATAATTTTTATTATTCTTGCGATTAATCCATAATGGGGTGTTATCTTGCCACTTTGTAATTCCATAACCATGTATAATTATGTGGCACCTTGAAATGTTGTTACTATACTTATAATTATTATCACTCAAGATATTGATTATAATTATCAGTGAATTACCTGTAATCACTTAGTTGAGATAAACTACACAGCCCAGCTTGGAATAGAAACTTGACAGCTGTTCCATTTCAGAGCAAACTGTAACCATTAATGTATACAATTGTTTCATAGTGGAAGACTACTGTATACAGTATGGCTAGTGTCAGGGTTCCATTGTCAAGTTCAGCATCATATTTTTTCAATTCTAACTTTCCATGGGGAGGTAATTTTGAGATCAAGATAATACAAATGGCAATCTTTAGAATCTTGTACAGTATAAGGAATCAGATTTTGAGGTCAGAATTGAGGTCTGGTGGGATTTTAGACGTAAACTATTGGAAGGTTGGAGTTTCAACGTAACCTGATAATAGAAATGTTTTCCGCCAGCCAGCAACAGTTCTGTGACAACGTTGCAACTCAATTTGATGCCATAATACTTACCTTTAATAAACAAGCATTACATCCCACAAAAGAGTCCAGTAATTTCTTTTGATAATTAATATAAAAATGACTAAAGAAAATAAGGACAAATAAAATAAATAAATGAGATTTTCACTTTTATTAAGTTGCTTTGTACAACATTGTTTACCAGTGTGTTATAATGGCAGTCTATCTGAATCTTATCTGTATGTAATAGTTTACATTAAATTTAATTGTATAAAATCGAAAAATATACAGTAATTCAAAACAATGCATTAAAATCTATAGAAGGTTGTCCCCATGTTACCAAATGCATTGCCATTGTGGGTGAAATAAGAAAAATTTACACCTTCGATGCTTATTTTCTCAAACCAAAACTACACCTTCAGTGGCATTATTTCTACATCACCCTGTTTAAATACTGCTTGGGCAAATTCACCTAGTTTATTATTATTTTTTCTCCAATTTATGTCACGTTGTCACTCATTCTCTCACACTTAATGGGCTGAATATAAAAACATTTGTCCTGGACTACTCTGTTTTTAAGTACTGTACACGAGATGATTTATTACCTACTGAGGGTAAGTTAGTCTACTCATGCATTGGTAGACATACTGTAGTCTTAGTCCAGCTCACCTCTCTTTAGTGATTTTCTTTCCCTAACCTAGTCAAACTCATGCTTGTTTTCCTTTTATCTAGTCATTATCACCATCACTCACAAGTAAATACTATGCATCGTCAAGTAAGGTTGTCAGGCTCTTTGGCATCCACCCTCTTTCTGTCTGTACATATATAATATTTTTATTGAAGGAAATACTCAGTTTACCACATCTATACACTGGTCTTCCCTCATGTTTACGATCTGGTATTGGAACAAATACAATGCCACGTTCCAAGCATCTACGCTCAACAACCTCACGCATGCTGAGGGTTTCTCTTCGAGCACTGCTAATGATATCTGCCCAATCTTTGGAGCGCTGTCTGGGAGGAGAACCTGGAGGTGGTGGTGGTGGAGGTTCACTCAACTTATCTAAACCAGCTAACAACAGATTAAATTGATCAGAGGCACCAGGCTGGTAGCTCAGAGCTCGACTACACACTTCTAGAGCCTGTTGAAACTTCTGACGTATTTGAAGATGATTTGCAACACTCTTTGGAATGATTTCTCGCCATCCTTTGTACCAAGCTATAACATCAGGGTGAGGTGGATTTGCTGACAGCCAAGTACCCAATGCCTGGTACCAACGTGGAAAGAAACAATGTTCCATTATGTCTAAAGATATCTGTGGTGGAAGCAGTTCATCCCAATCCAGGAACCAATGCCATGGATCTAGATTCTGACTGTGTGGGTTAATGGCCATTTCAAGGAGTGCAGACTCTAATTTTGGCTGAATGTTCGACTGAATTAGAGTGGTCATTGATATTTCACTAAAAACTCTCTTCCAGGGCTGTAAAACCATCTTGGCAGAGCGGTCATTTGGATGCCAGTGAACAAGAGCTGCTGAAAGCTTTTGACGTATGACAGGATATACTGACTGAAGATGATCTACTAACAGAGGAAGCCATGGATGAAGCCAAGTGTGAATGGGTACAGTATCCTGAAGTGGATTCCAGTTATGAACAGCACGAGTGATACGAGGCAAAATAACATGCTGCAGTAGATGGCCTTGAATCCATACAGGAACCAATGGATAGTTCCATGCCTCCAGTACAGCAAGCAATGGACCACAGTCTCGTGGTTCCCAAGGACCCATGACAGTGGATCTTACTGCAGCAGTCCATGTCTCCCATACCAGGTGATGGTAAGGATCTAAAGGCACTGTTGTATCTGGTTGCTGATGTTGATTTCCTCCTAAATCTACCAACTGTTGCCAAGCAGCAAATACTTCTTTGTGAGCGGTTGGTTGTGCAAGAGGATTCCAAGTCCTGAGCAACTCCTTCAAGAGAGGAGTAATGTATGTGGGTGCTAAATATGGGATTTCATAAGTGTTATATATTTTAGGATAGTCTGATTTTAGCTCAGTAAATATTGCTGTAGCTTCACTGAGACTCAATGTTTGTTCTTTATGTCTAGTTTCAAGTCCTTCAACAAGGATAAAAGCTTGGTCGAGACTATCCAATTCCTTCTTTTCCCTTTCCACTAAAGCTTCATACTTTTCCCTCTCGTGATTAAGATGAACTATTCTGTCATTTTCTCGTTCTAAAGTCCTGGCATTACGAACAATGTCATCTTCACATTTTTCTAAGAGTATCTGGAGATTGTGTAAAAGTTCTGGTAAATCAAAATGCTCATATTTCTTCTTTTTATCCTCTTCATATTCATCGACAAAATTTTTCTGCCCAGCAATGGCATGGTAACTACTCAGAACACGTGTCTCTGGCCCAGTCATGTCAATGACTTTGGTTTTAGTAATGTGACTATCATCTGTTGGTTTTAATTTTTTTGTCTTGCCTTCTTGAATGACTTCTTCTGCACTCTTATATACATATTTAATTTTCTTCTTACTCCCAGTCTTCTTCCACTGCTGAAGCAGATCCTTAAACTTCTCTTTTTCCTCTTCATCTGAATCATTGACTGGAAAGTCCTTCAATGATCTTTCATTCCTCTCTGATCCATAGAAACCAATAGCCCCCTTTCCCTTTCTTTTGCTTGCTTCAACAGGTGTTGATATACCTTGTAAATTTTTACCGAGACCTTTGCCTTCTTCAAAACCCATCTTCTTTAAGAGTTTACTGCCAATGCCGGAGGTGTACTTTTCCCAGTCTCCGAGGCCACTACCCAAGAGACCTGGTTTACCTCCACCTGGTGCTCCTCCGCGACGCATTCCAGCAATATCTTTTGGCTTGGAAGATGAAGAGGCAAATGATGGGTAATTCGAGGATTTCTTGCTTCCAAATGATGATGGCTGTTGTGGTTTTGCTGGGATTTCCTCATCACTGAAATAAAAATATCATAATTAATACTTGAACATCAAACTAAGTTCTTAGCTCCTCTAGCAATTCTTAAGTCACTTGATAACTGATGGAAAGACTGACTGAATCACTCATTCACTCAGAGAAGAGGACTGTCATTCCTAAACTGGTTAAGTGGTCTATCAATGAACTCATAATTGTCAAAAATGAAAAAGATGAATAAAAGCAAATGAATTTGTGTGTATGCTGTCAGCAGAGGCAGGAAATATGAATTTGTTCGCAGTCACATTTCCCGCCTCTGCTGACGGTCGTGTAATATTTCAATGTGATTCTGATCTTATAAAATTTTAGTTTTTGCATAGTGTAGTATAACTGATACGTAATTTATCTTAGTATGCCTTATTGTGGGTAAAAATAAGTACTGTATATATTACAGTAAATGTGTCCTCTGAAGGCATGAAGTTGCTACCCGGGTTTAACAATTAATTCGTGTATAAGATTTCTGATAAATTTCCTACGTGATTATGTTTGAAATAATGATTGTATCTTTATATAATTTAGCTAAACATATTTCTCGTCAGAAGCGGTCATTCCAACGATCATCATTTCAGGACGAAATCGGACAGATTTGCAACAGCCAATCTCTTCTCAGCTGGGAAAAAACGCACTATAGTAAGGAGCATAACTGTACATGGTTTTTAGAATATAGAAGGTCTCCTAATAAAAATTGCAGAGAATCAGGTTATGTAACAGATGTGACTTCTACTTTTGAAAAGCTAAAGCTGAAAATACCGTTTTAGGCACTTAAGAGAGTAATTATCCTTTTGAGTATTCTCTAAATTCTTGATTTTATTACTCAAAGCAAACATTAATTAACACTTGTAAAGTCATTACCCGTTAGACGGAACAATTGGTACAGAGCTCTTCCGGGGATGAGAAATTTCTGGGAAACGGAGCAACTTTCTCAATCCTGGAAAAATCCAACATCCCTGGAACATTTATGGGTACTGGGAAAATTGTCTGAGAATCTAAAATACACATCTCGCACTGACAGGAAAGTTTTTGGGTGCTGGGAAGGTTTTCCGAGGGTCTGAGAGAGTCTAAACTACCTGTACATTTAGACCATGGACAAGAGTGAAAATATTTACAGCTAGCAAAAATGTGTTTTAAACTTTTATTCACAGCATTTGTTTCAGAGGACAGTGATCTTGTTGCCGGTGCATTCTGAAAACTCTGCTAAGGTAAGATTAATATTATAAACTAATACTGTATACAGTATGTACAGTATCATAACTCATTTTATCCACTCTTAAGAATACTCAGTCATAATAATAAATTTGATAATACGTACAGTATATATTTTAGAACCCTTTAACCAAAAATAGTCACGGCTACTGGGAGTCCATCCTGTTCATTGGTAAATAAGAATATCTTTCCAAGACTTACCTTGAGTCCGCACCAGCGCCAAACATTGGTCTTGGTGCAAGTTCTGACTCGGACTCCTCATCTGAGCCTTCCTTCTTGTCCTTGTCATCCTTCTTGCCGGACTGTTGTATCCCTCCTGAGACAAAGTTGAGGCCCCCACGCAGGACACGAGCCCTAGATGGCGGAACACTCAGGGGTTCAGCCTCTCCCTCCTGTAATTGTATTAATAACTGTAAGATACACAACCCAAAACGTGGAGGCTTTTTATGTACAGAATAAAGATAATTAGCACAGCTTGGTTACTGTAGAGGTAAATAGAAAAGGACATACTACACTTTACCTCTTCATCACCGCTCTCCTGCGCCCACACGCCATAAATCTGCTGCTCCTTGGTCTGCCTCCGACCTGGCCGTGTGGTACTGAATTCGTTCTCCAAGTCATAATCGGTGATTTCAAACTTTTCTACTTCATTATCCGACATGTCTGAAATAAATGAGGTCCTGTTTATACAAGTATGGTAATACAGGTACTTCATGATTAAAAGCCTTGCTGTTATTAATATAAGTTGAGAGAGTACAGTTCAGTACTGTACTTACTAAACAAACATCTAAATCTTTAGATACTATCAAGGCTAAATATTTCTCCCTCCCCCATAAAATTAATGTATGTCCACCTGACACCATTTTTGTGCTTAGTTTATTATCATACAGATGCTTACAGTGACTCTTCCATATGATTGCTGGGTGTGTTTGTCAACAGTTGGAGTGCAATCATGGTGCCTGCAGGGAAAGTACTTATTCATACTAATAACTAAAGAAAACAGAATTAGGAAAACTGAAATTCCTCCACTGGTTTTAGGATATTCTTGAGGAACGAGAAATTTTCTTCTTTAGAAAGTCCTAAAATTACTGGTTAATTTAGACCCCTGGTCTGAGTAACACTAAAAATGCAGCATAATGTAGCAAACACTATGGAAACATCACTAGAAAAGTTCATAACATCACTTCGTAAAACGTTATGACAGTTGCGTGCCTTAACCAGCACCTCCAGTTAATTTTGCTATAGAAATGCTTTCTTTCATCACGAAAAGCCTGAAAAATAGGAAGGAATAAATTTTGTGATATAGTATTTTCACGATTTTTCTGTCCCAAATACTATTCTACAACTGCACACTACTTGATGTTATCCATTGTTTACATCTATAACAATACTAAAATCTTACCAGCTACAGTAATTCTGGAGGGATGGTTAACACCAGAACGCATTCATCAAATTTGTTAATTTTTTCCAGAAGTTCTTTGGATGATTCTAAGGAAAAAAAATTATACGACAACTTTCTCCTATAGTTCCAAGTATTTATATTTAATTTTTTTTTCTCCATTTACAATCATAAATCATCTGCAGTGGGCAGGGTATGAAGGATGAGGAAAATTACGGAGTAAAATATGGTGAAAAACTGATCATAAAACACTAAAATAATGTCTGAGTGCTTTGTAAGTGAAGAAATTAATTATTTACCATAAATATTCCTGTCGTGTCAGCACATGCTGTCGTCTGTTCTTTCTTTACATCCGTGCATCAACCGAACCGCTCGGTCTGAGAGTACTCTCATGTCCACAAAAAAAAAGAGAGTAAAATTACACCATGCTGCTTCAAGAAAGTTGCTTTTATTGGTACCAAATATCAATGTACAGTAAGTAGTACTTTCTGTTTAATATTTTGGGGGGTTCTGCCCCTGGCTAGGAAGTTAGGTAGGTTTCTTTAGTTGATTAGGTCAGGTTAAATTAGGTTATGTGCATTGTTGTATCGTTTTTATTAATATCATCCAAAAAATATGTGGAAAATTTAACAAAATCGAACAACGCCTTCTGGTGTTTACCAAGTGCTCCAGGATTACCCTTTCATAAATTATTATATATAACTGTTAGCATTTGTATGGAATTAACAAATAAGCTACAGAAATAGCATTATTTATACAAAGAAAATTTATGTAATGCAAAAACAAAACAAATTTAATTGTTGCTCTTGATCTGCAGTTTCTCCAAGGAAGGACGCTGTTTTCCGGGTAAAATTTTAGTTCCTGTCATCTAACCTAACCTAACCTAACCTAACCTAACCTAGCCACAGAACCCAAGATATGTTTCTAGCCTATACGCCTGACGCCTATTGATTCCAATACTTAAATAATGCTGTTTTCAACACAAAACATGTGTAAGGTGCGGAAAAATATTTAAGCTTTACCAATATATTGTCTTAAGCGTCACTAAGTTCAATTTTGACGTATCAATACTTTTTAGGATTAATGATTAAATTCCTAATCATATCTCGGGTGCAACAGATGTTTACCTTATTTACCTAGTGTCCATCTTCAGAATTAAGTTAAGCAAAAGATCAAGAAACATTACCTGTTGACTTTTCCCAGCTGTATATTCATTAGGAACAGATAGTAAGAGTGACTTCAGTATGTGAAACACTTTATGATAACCATTTTGTCAACAAGGAAAACAAACCGGGTTATGAAGAAATGATTCCAGGTATTCTATTTATTAGTCTGCTTTCAGAAGTTTTATTTAATAAATGTAATAAAATATTATTATATAATTAAATTTTTTTAGCAGATATTGTGATTTTATGTGTTTTTTATCAACAAATAATAATCTAAGAGAAGCCGTAACTAAAGAGAGTGTGAAGGAAGGCGTCGTGTATATAAAGGCTCGTGACTTAGTTATGGTTAACGTAATTCATTTGTCTGTTGAATTGTTAATATTCCCAAATCGGTTAATACTTGCTTTATTTTTTGTTGAATGAATTTGTATTTTAAATTATTCTTAGTGTATTGCTTATTCCTTTCATTTATTAATTTCATTGGCGACCTTGTTATTTTTTACTGTTACCTGAGTGGTGAACTATGGTTTAACACAATCTAGGACCACCAGTCCGTAACACTATTCGTTTTCTTAGGACGTTATTTACGCAACTATGAGGTAACACCACGGTCTCACTGATCTCCTATGGCTAATAATAATGGATATTGCTTCCCTCGAACCTTTGAATTTAACTAAGTAAGCTGTTGTTGATCTAAGCAATGAACACTGCACTTAGAAGATGTGTGTGTGTTCTTCTGTTGAATTTTCTGCAATAGTTTTAAAAAGATACCGCACGACAACGCGGTAAAACTAACTAACAATATTAGAATTTGAAAGGGGTACTGCTGGGAAGTCTGCTCAAGTATCATAGAAAACGGAACCTCCGAGCTCGTGACGTCACTAAACAACAACAAGCATGACGAGCACTTGTTCAGTGTTTGTGTGTTTATCTCAAATTAAAAATAGGGGTAATATAACTTTCCATCATTTTCAGAATGATAAAGAACTGAGAAGATGGACTCGCTTGAGCAAGAGCAAAACTTTATAAATGCTCAAATGTGCAGCTTGCATTTCGAAGCAAGTGCGTTTCAGGAGAACTTGAAATATAAACTGCCTGGATTACCAGCACCAAGTAGACTTGTAAGGGTTGAGAATGGAGCAATACCAACATTACAACTGCCAAGTTCAAAAGGTAAGCCAATATTATTTCAGGTACAACATAAAACAAGCAATGTTATAATAATGTAGCCTACTGCTTGTCAGAAATTAAACGTATCCAAAACAATTTAAAATAGCTGGAGTGTCAGTTTTAGTTTTTTCATTAACAAGTTCTTAAATAACCGTTATCGTTAGATAATAACACTTTGTAGTTAAATATTGGATGAAAGTGTGGAACCTACAGTATATTAAGCTGGGGCGCGAATAAGCAACAAATATCACATTTTCGGTAATATTTCTATGTTTATTTTCACTCATTTGGTTATCAATGGGCGGGGGCAAAATCTCTCGTCCACTTATTTAGCGCTTAGTGTTAGTGCCCGGAGAAAACTTGCGATGTTTGGTAGGGTCACGCTGGTTAACCTAACACTGTTCTCACATCTTTCCCAGGCCGAGGATAATGTGATGAGAGATACGCCCGTTACCTCTGTACCTGTACCTCCAACACCTTGATCATTGACTCTGACCTCCAGAAAAAGTTCCATGCTATAGTGTACACCCAATGTGAGTTCATCTATGACGTTTGGCCAGATCTGGTGTATATATGACGGGAGATATACTTCCTTACATTACCCTGGACAACTTAAGTGATTACAGTAATTTGTTAAAGAATGACGATGATTTAAAAACTGTTGTTAGAATTTGTTCATGGCTTCTAGAATTTGAGTTATATTGTATAAGTATTTCTATAATTTTTTTAACATTGTTTAAATACAACGTAATCAACTCCGCACAATAGGATTAGACTGAAAAAGTTTACTCTGGTAGTTTAATTAATGGATAACGCTTCGTATTACCACTTGTTCTCAATATATGTGTCACGATTTGCGTCACCTTTGTTTCATGTCAAATTTACTACATAAAGTGGGCCGAGACAGGCTCTCTTCTCTCTCTCTCTCTCTCTCTCTCTCCCAGGCTTTACCTCCCTAGTCCCTCAGTTAATTAGTTGAACACTTCGCTAAGCTTCGCGCACAGTTACAATCAAGTCTGGTCTTCGTTGCAGTATCCACTATATAAACAAGTACCTCCCGTTCAAGTAAAGTCGGAAAGTGCAAAAAAATTACCCAAACGGTTTCTGCTACAGGTGGGAAATATATTAAACTTTCACAAAGGGAGAATGTCACACACAGAGTAATGGTGACTGATTACCAATATTTTGTGTGTAAAATTGGTGACCAAGAAAAACACTGGTTTGGCTACATTTGTGTTGTACGTACTACATCTGACTTGACTCGGTGCCTGACTAAGAAGAGAACAAGTATAAAACCACAACTTCATGAGGATGATCTTTCAGTTCCACATCAACCAGAAAAAATGATAGGAAAGAGTTATCCCACATGAAGATAATGACTCCTCGTTTTATTCATCTATATAGTGATAATTTTCGTGTGACCCCTCAACATGCACTGTCTCATCTGACCAAAGCAACATGGGGGGAACTTCTTGGACAAGCAAACAAACCGTGACAAATTTTCAATTATGGCACAGAACCTCAAAATGATATAATATTTTACACGGCAAGAATTCTCACGTACTATATTACACAAAACCTCCATAATGTCTCCTGATGTGAAGATGCATGAAACAGCATAAGCCTACAGTAAACAATGTCATGGCCCAGGAAGCTAATCATGTTTATACGAGCTTCGTGGTTGGAGTGAAGTTGACGCCAAAGAAATCAGTGTTGTATGTGCTGCCTGGCGGTGTTACGAGGGTGACTGGCATCTTGGTGGGGACTGGGGAACTCTTACCGGCGGCAGCAGAAGTGTTTGGTCTTGTGTCAGTAGAGTCAGTGTGGGGTGGACGGTGGAGGTGAACGGTCGGGTGCAGTAGAGAGTTGTGAACGCGTACCAGTGAGTGACTCTCAGTGGCCAACCCTCCTACGACGCAAACGTTTATTGTCCTCTGTATTAATTTCATACACCGCCGGCAATGACTTAAAACCTCTTTACTGTTCAACTTAATTCAGTAATTAATCTCTATATACATATAACTGAGTGTTATATCATATAAGAGAAACAATAATGACCCAATCATCCCACGAATAACTGATAGTGTAGTGTTAGGCTTCACCAATTGACACGAAAAGAAACATTCCAGATACTACTAAAACAACTTGTCCACTTGGTGATAACATAAATATTATTAAGTGTTTGTATTGACACTTGAACACTGTGCTTAATAAAGTTGTAAATTAACGCCAAATTCGTTCCGGTAGCACAAACATTCCGGCATTAGCTTCCTGAAGTGAACTTTTTCCTCACACTCAACAGGTGAGTTAAATGTTTGTGTTATCTCAGTAAGTTGTGAGTGTTATCTTGCCAACACGTGTTATTTCAGTAAGTTGTGAGTGTTATTTTGCCTTCATCTTTTATCTCGGCGAGAAGCAAGTGTTATCTTGCCTACATGTGTTATCTCAGTAAGCTGATAGTTATCTTACTAATTTGTTATCTTATTAACTTGTGTTTTCTCAGTGACCCGTATGCTATCTTACTGAGATAAATAATGATGATAATAATAAAAATAGTGTGGGCGACAAGCTCCGAGGATAATAGAATCATTATGTTTTTAATGTTTTCGTAGAGATTACCGAATGTTACGCCCGGAGTGTTTTCTTGGGGATGGGAGGCGGCTGTCCTCCCTCAAGGGACCGTCCGCCGCCCCTGCTGAAAACTCCTGGATCCGCCACTGTCTTTTTAGTGTTTGGATTATTATACCAAGGGCTTGTGAGCGTTATCTTAGAGGCTTGTGATTATCATAAGGGCATATGTTTGTTATCTTCACGGGCTTGTGATTGTTATATTAAGATTTTCCCAATTATCTTAAAGCATATAGGCTATACTGTAATTGTTATCTTAAGAGCATGAATGTTATCTTAAGATATGACTTATTTTAAGAGATTATAATTGTTATATTCAAAAGCTGGAACCTTTTGTGCCATGTTAATGTGTGATTTTTATAACATGCGCGTGATATCTTGACGATCTGTAATCTTGTTTCCTGATAACGTGTTTGAAATATTTTAGTGTTTATCTATCTATCTCCATCTATCAACACACACACACACAAAAGAAGCTCAATACCTAAATGGTGGGTAAGATTTAGTTTCTGGTTATTATCACTAGGTGTATTTTAAACGTATGGAATTGCAATACGGCAACATTCTTATTCGCTACGCTTTTTTAAAATTCGTAAAATTCTAAGGTGTTTTATTACATTTTGCTATCTTTGATGGTAAGAAATAGTGATTCCAGTTTCACCTGTATTTACCTATTGTCAGCTGTCAGGGTCGTCTTATCGAGTAATAACGCTTGGTTGAATACTGTCAGTTTGTTTACCTACAGAGTCGACACATGTAAGTTTGTAAATTTTCAGTCACCGGCTTATATTTGTCTTCGTCAGTCAGTCCAGTGCCTGTCTATCCTCAGTCTGACCGATAATGTTTTTTTTTTCAGCGTGAGGGATTTATCTTCTACCTTCTCAAACATATTTCATTATGTATACGTTGACAGACAAAGTAATCCCGAACTAATTACAGCGATGATACATGTCACTCTTGTTTTACGTGGTGAAGACTGGTTAGGTGGCGTTAGGAGTTCTGGGTGAGGTAAATGTCCACCACCTCTCTGTTATTTTGCCCCAAGTGTGTTCGACTCCTCGGGTATCGGGGAATGGTAAACGAAAAAAAAAAATCTTCCGTCTGGTTGTGGAACTTGTTAGTATCCGTGATGTTATAATATATCTTTGGCTCATAATTTATATTGTA